TTCTTTGAATTAGAGGCCTCTTACAAATGTCTAAGGTATGACCTGCAGAGGGAGCCATTGAATAACACAAAGCAACCTGAACCTCTGCAGAATAACCAAGCCAGTGATCTTGTCTATCTATAAGTGTAACAGAAAGTGCATGGCCCTTAAAAAGTGAAATCATCCCTTTTCAGTTGCAATCAGGTCAGACTAAATTTCAAACATAGATATTTTCTCACTTTCCTCTAGTCATATCTCTTCATGCAGATAGTATTTGTTCTATTTTGTCTTGATTCAGAGATATCTATCTCTGACATGTCTGCCTCCACCACAATACCATGAAGAATTGAAGAATTAAATCAATAACTAATAAAAGTTACAGAACCGGTGTCCTGGTTACTTTGGATCATCCAAAAACACACATTGTGGACAGTCTACATTAGTGCTAAAATCATATGTAGATTAATTGATTATCCAGTTGACAGAAAATTAAACTATATTGACACTTGATTAATCATTTAAAGGTCCAGTGTGTAACATTTAGGGGGATCTATTGTCACAAACGGCATATAATATTCATAGGTATGTTTTCATTAATGTATAACCACCTGAAAATAAGATTAGATTACCTTAGAATGTGTTCAGTTGGTTGCAATCTGCTATCATCGCTAAATGCCACTAAATACTACACACTGGTGCTTTAAGGCTGCAGTACGTAACTTTTATAAAAATAACTTTTTGTCATTATTGCTGATGTCTTCTGACAGTATAACATATGACAGATAATGTGTGAAACAATCAGGTTCTTCTGGCTTTTCCTAGTGCTCCTAATGACAATTGCAAGAATCCACCAGGCCTGAATGAAAACAACCAATCAGAGCAAAGAAAGATACAAAGACACTTTGGGTTGGAAGTTTGAAGATAGTTGATTGTCGAGTCTCATTCCCAGCATCCCAAAGTGTCTGTATTTGACAACCTGGGAAGAGCGAAGATGAGACTCAACAATCAACTATCTTTCTTGGCTATAATTGGTTTGATTCTTTCAGGCCCATCCACTGAGCCAGAGGAATCTGTTTGTTTTTTTCTGCAAATATGACAAAAATTTATTTTTATACACATTACCTACTGTAGCTTTAAGTAATTCTTTTAAGAAAAACTGGCAAAAGGTCACTGGTTCTTAATTCTCAAATGAAGCATATAGTGTTAGTTTAGGCACTTGTATTAGCTGATTAGAACCAGCTGCCTAACACCTGACGTAGATAATTATGAATATTGTCTTTTTGTAACCTGCTATCACTGGAAACTGAATATATTTAGGTTTTGGACTGTTAGTTGGACAAAACAATACATTTGAATATGTCAACTTAAGGTATGGGAAATTGTGATGGACACTATTTACTAGTTTTGTGATAGATATTATAAACAGACAGTTTATTGAATGAATAGAGAAAAAAATCAACAGATTGTTGGATAATAAAAAATATTAGGATTGTATTTATGTGTTAAACCTCAGTGAATATTCAGTAGCAATATGCACACCTGTGCTCCTCCTGACTAAATCTGTAGGAATCTGTAGGAAAGCTGGGGCTGTTCATAGCTCCTCTGACACCATGTGATATGACGGACAGTCAGAGCAAAATAATACCCTTTTTAATGCAGTTTCATGGTGTCCTGTTTGCAGTATGGAAGGATATTAACAATACAGTTGGTTCCACTATCAAATCAGTGCTGCAAGACTTGAGTCAGGTCTTCATCATCACAAGGGGTAAGTAAGAAAATGGAACTCCTTTAACATACATTGTTGAACAACTTGCCTGGACCAATACAGAAGCCAGCGATGATGCCGACCACGCAGCAGACACTGAGGTAGCGCATGAACAATAAGTGAGCCTGCAGGGAGAAGAAACAGCACAACATTACTGTTTGTCAGTCTGGCCACATTGGACACAAGGCCAATAAGATCCACTGTCACATCCTGCTTGCTAAGTTTTGAGAACTATATTGCATCTTTATATGCAAGTGTTTATATGGCAAGGCTTCTCTGGCTCTCTGTGACATGGTGCGACCATTACAGCCATTGGATTTTCCACAAGGAATACCACTGCAAGAAACTGTAACATATCATACCAGAATAACTATAAAAGGACCAAATTTGTCAACATTTAAAATGTTTAAAAGTCAATTGAAGAGAAAGGTATGTAGGTATAAATATTTCTCTGTAATGTATGATGTATGCTGTTCCTGTAAGGTCAACAAAATGTACCACATAGTTCAGCCTTGCTGTCTGTCAACATGTTTTATGTCTGCTATTTTAAAGACCCTTTTAGGGATGGACATTAATTGTGATGCTAATCTATATGTATACAGTACTGTATCTGTCCCCATATCAAATAAACATGAAATAAAAAATAATAGTTATTATAAACAATAATATTATATATATTATAAATTAAATAGTTATTTTCCCTAATAGAGAACTTGACTCCCTTTCCACCACTGCTTTACACCTCAGCCAGCTGCTACACAGCCTTGCATGTACTGCATTGTTCCACAGGGCAAAGCAGGAAAACGTTCTGCCAACTGAAAGTGAAACAGACACAGCTGTTCATCCCTACACATTCCCCTGTTGGAAAATCTGGGATGTGTTCATTTGTCTTTCCTTCTGTTTGTTTTTTCGCCTCCCTCACTTCCACTTGTCTCCTCCTAGGAAGTACATTGGAGAAAGTGAGTAAAGGAAGGGAAGAAAGTGAATAAACAGCACTACAGGTAACAGGAAGAATATGTACTGTCCCTGTAAAGCTCCCAAAGCGTCACTGGACTGAAACGTGAAACATTTCGGGAACAGGAGCTAAAATCCTGTAGCTGCTTAAACATGCTGAGCACAATGAAAGTGCACCAAGACACATTGGTATAGAGAGGCTTTAAATATTAGTGGTTCAGAGCAGGTTTTGTTTTGTCTGGTATTAATAAGAGTGTATCTGGTAACATCAAGGGAGTTTGGCCAACAGTGCTATCAAGTGCACCATAGATCTTAATATGCAATTCAGAGGGGTCTAGTCAAAATGTTACTTAAAAATTTCATTTTGAAATCTGAAAAGTAATGACATGAGGCAACAAAATACACCTGTTGATTAGGATTGCAACTGCTGGAAATAACAATTTTCTCAGATTCAGAGTCGTGATGTCTCTTTAAACACGTACATTTCCAGACAATACATTACCACTTTGGCTGACGAGGACAAGGCCAGGGGCATATACAGACTTTTTTGACCGGGCTAGCACAAGTTGGGCACTGACTGGGGGGCATCAAGTATGTGTCTCTCTTTCCAGTCATTCTGTTTAGGGACCCCACCAGTTTTCCTTCCTTTCTATCAACCCTCACCTGTCCTTCCTATACCCCCTCATCCCTCAACCCTCGACCCTTACCCCCCCACAGTATTCCACATTTGTTCATAACGCGTAATAAACCTTTCTTATTCCATACAGCCATTGGCTTGATCTTTGTTAGTGAAAATATCTTCACTCTAGCTTTAAAAAGGAGCCTGCTACAGTCTCTGAAAGAGCGGAGTAGAAGAGGTTGGGATGATGGGGTGGCACTTGGGATTTCAGCACCCCCCCTGGACACGCTCCTGGACAAGGGTTCAAAAGGCACATTAGCAGATGACAACACACACACCTGTAAAATTAGGGCACATGTGATTCCAGCACTGCAGATGCCCATCATGGCAAAACCTCCAATCATGAGAGGCCTCCTGCCCAGCTTCTCTATGGTGAAACACTGCAGGAGGAGACACAGAGCTCATGTCAGTTAAATGAACAACACTACAGATGCAAGAACACAAGTGTTCTAATGTATCTAAAGGAATAACTCAGCATTTGCAAAACACTTCAGAAGTGTATTTCTGAACTTGAGCCAGGCTAGCTGTTTCCCCCTGCTTCCAGTCTTTATGCTTAGCTACATTCTGACTCCAGCTCTGTGACGCACAGGCATGAGATTGCTATCAACCTTCTTATCTTACTTCAAATCAATCAATTATGAAAGAAAAATCTAGACACAACACCACTAAAAACCTAACACCAGTTACAAATTTGTAAATTTACCCCAATGAGTCCAGCGATGATCTCTATAATCCCTGTTCCTGCTGTGGTATACTGGATCTCTGGTGCTGGGATGCCTGCATTCTCAAAAATGTCATTGGTGTAGAACCATATCTGTGGTGGAAAAATAAAGATCAGTGAGGTGAAATTCATTTTCTAAAGACTCATCCTCATCACAATTATCCATATAATAGCTATCTTTGGAGATAAAAAATGCAGCCCATTTTTCCTTCTTCTTTTGTATTTTGGGATTTGACTATTTTACTTTGCTGCTATAATTGCTGTTTAATATTGCGACATAAATGTTATCATGGTAACCATCCACAATGTTTCTGGGAAACCACTATAAGATTTAACCCAAACAATGTCTATCCAGTGGCAGGGCTTCCATGGTGGCACAGGGCCAACCCCTGTAATCTGATTGGCCACCC